AGTATTTGATCAAACTTGAGAAACTTGTGTTGAGAGCTAAGCTGCAATTTGCCACTCTGACACAGAAGAGAACATGTCAGCGCAGCTACACACACACACACACACACATGCACACATGCACACACACACACACACACACACACACACACACACACACACAGCTGGAGTATACATATAAAATGCTACTTGTCAGAGTGGCATAGAGGCAGAACTGACAGCCTGAAGAACAGGTCTGAAGTTGACAGTTTTCAACTTGTTAGGCGGGTAGGAAGAGGACAGCTGATCTGAACGCTTGCTCAAACCAAGCGTTCACTTAGACACACTCCTCCAGTACACTCTGCTGCATGCCTGCATTAACAAGCTGTGCAGCTGGCCTTGAATGTACACAGAGGTACGCTTGTGTAAATTTAGGCACTGTCATGCGTTGTAGCACGCATGTATTCTTGGCATGCAATATATATCTGAATCCTGTGAAGCATGTTAAAGCATTTCAAAGTTTCACATTTTCCCAGATGTTATTTCTCACTTTCTCACACTCACATGCATTGACCTGAACATATGGATGTAAACTGATAAACTGCAAAAAAATGTTATACCCTAGAGTACATATACATTCTCATAAATGTGTTGTGTAAGCACCTTTATATGTACACACACAAACATATATTCCCTTTGGCAAGGAGGACTGAGAGTGTTTCCCCGGAATGAGCTCAAGGCAGATCTGAAGGAAGCACAGTCAAAAACACACACACACACACACACACACACACACACACACACACACACACACACACACACACACACACACACACACACACACACAGCTCCCATCCATCATCAAAGCCTCAGTGTTGACAGGCTTATTTACTCAATAGGACAAAACCTCTATCTATATATATCCCCCTGTTGCATCCTTCCTTTCTTCTCCCTTCCTCAGATTTTTGCAGTTTTTATTTTATCTATTTACGCCCACATTTAATCATTGATTCAGCTCCAGGCAGCTCTTTATGATGTGTGTCTATTTGTGTGTGTGCGCGCCTACAGCCATTGTGTACTTGCACAACCCCAAAGTAAAATCTAGAGAGAACCACCCGTCTGTGTTTGCACATGCATCGCACACACACATTAAGAGACTCAGTGTTGATAGATGTGATGGCTTGCTGGAAGCTGTGTCACTTTCCCTGAAGGACTGATTTGTGTGTGTCTCTGCATCTGCAGCCAGACTGTTGAAATTTCTAATAAATATATGATGGAAGATGATGGCCTATTTGGAAGCAGGAGCAGACTCTTTCAGTTCAACACCACGTTCATGATTGAGCTTTGAGGATTAAAACAGTTATTGTTTCAGAGAAAGGATCCTCTGCTAAAAGAAATATGAGGATTTAATTTGGTGTCAAAGTATCGTGCGGCTCAGTATTAGTATTTAAAGAATGTTTCTAGACTCTTTAAATGTTCATCATGAGTCATACATCTCTGCAAACCTTGGCTTTCCTTCTATCTTGCTAGTATATTGTCACTGCCAGTGTTTCCTCAAGGTTATTCTCCAGTGAAGCCCATTGCATTCTGTTGCTAAGACATTTATCAGAAAACTGCTGCAGTTCAAATACTACTTGATGGATCTTTTAACATATTTTCAAATGCGTCAAAATAACTAATCAAGTGTCAAAGTTGGAGGTTAAACAACAGGTGTTATCATCAGATCTTTATTGCAAACTAAAGCTAATGAAATCAGAACAGCTAAGATCAAACATTAACTTAATACACACATTTCAAAGCCAGTTGTTCAAATGCTGATGACCAGAGAGGAAAATAATTTGAATCTTGGTTTCTTGGAAAGAAACGAGGCTGTGAAGTCATTGACACGGGCGAAGATGAAATCGGGATTGGCAAGCGTAAGAGCAGTTCTTTAATTTTCCACTCATCTCTTTTAGTGATTCGGACGTAATGATCCACCAAGAACAAACGAGCAGATGATCAAAAAAGTCATTAAGAGTTTGGGACAGTGTTGTATCAGCTAAGTGGACAGTTTCTTGAACCCATTAACCAAAGCTGGAATCCTCAATATTTCTTCGGGGAATTTGGAGATTTTACTAACCTGGCGTTCAGTTCACATTTTACAGTTTAAAAACGTACACAGTTTTGGCTAATTGTATTATTTTTAGACCCAGTGTTTATGCATGTCAGCCTCATGATGCAGGTATTTCTATTTATAAATCCTGGCTATTGCCCTGCTACTATCCTGTTTTCTAATGGTGCTCTAAAATAATCCAAAATGATGCTATTATTAAATTGGGAATCAGAAATCAGGGAGTTTTATTTACAAGATGAACACAATTAAATGAATAAAGCAACGTTTGACGAGACCAAACAGGTACTGATTCTGTCCAGTGTTGTGAAATATATATTGAAAACAGCCTGTAATGTTTCTTCCCGTATGTTTATGTTAAATAAAACACCTTTGTCACTTATTTTGTTGTTTGTTGTCGTCGCTCAATCACCAAGAGACTCCACTTGTAGAGTTAATCCATCCATCCCGCCAAATTAAATGTAAAGGTTTACCCATCTAATTAAATAACAGGAAGCTGTGTCATTATCTAAAACATAATATGCAGCCCCACTTTTTATTCCCTGTGTGACTTTGTTCTTTTTGAATATGTGAAGAAGATTTGTGGGAGTTGTGAACAATCACACCCACGTTGAAACACCAAGAAATACTGTTTTTATTCCCAGTTTTTGATAATGGATCATTCATATGCTGTATCTTTAAGGAACGGTCCCTCCACAGCAAATATATGACTCTGCTAGTACTGATAGTGATGTCACTGTGAGTGAGTGTGTGTGTGTGTGTGTGTGTGTGTGTGTGTGTGTGTGTGTGTGTGTGTGTGTGTGTGTGTGTGTGTGTCCTGGCTGGGTCTGACACCATAATTGGAAGATATTCTGCTGTTTAATAGGATCCATGTAGGCAGGTGGCAGCTGACAGAAAGCCACCGGTGGGTGTGTGCGCTCTGACAACAGTATTTTAGCAAAGGTGTGTTAGTCTGTGTGTTGTGTCTCCTCCAGTTGATTAAGACAGATGCTTTCTCCCCCTGAAATTTAATTCAGGCTACTTCAGCACTTCCCTCTCCTTTCTTCCTTTCTTCCCTTCATCTTTTCTTCTCCTTGTGCTTTTTTTCCCCCCTTCCCCTCTGTCAAATGATCATACGCTGGGGAAATTAGCTCTGACAATCGGTTGTTCACTTAGCCACATGCGAGCACACACACACACACACACACACACACACTCTCATGTTGTGTGTCAGTGTGTGAAAAGCTGAGATAGACATTAAACTGCAGCGGGCAGCCGTCGTATTTTTCTTTCTGTGGTTGTTTCCGACGCTTATCAATTTACAAAATGCACTCTCCTCACCGCTCTCTGTTACCGACACATCTCTGTGATTGTCTGAGCAGTATTAGGTGGAAATACTCTGTGCGACACATTAGGTGTTGAGCTGAACCCTCTCTTTCATTTCTCACTTCACCCAAAATTGCACTAAGGAGTAATTTGTATGCCAATACAACATAAAAGTTAGTTGGCTGGTGCAGCTCTATAGTAATCCTAAACCTTCTCCCTTCATATCTGAAGCAACTGGGAAATGTTTCAAAAGGATAATAAGGATGGAGCACAAAGCACAATACAGAAGCTTCACAACTTGGATTATGCTGCGCAAGCTCTTTAGGGGAATTTAGAGTCTTTTTTTGGACCTAAAAAACAATTTTCCAGCTGCTTCAGTTGTTTTGTAGAATCCTGGAATGAAGCTGTGCAAGATTAATCAGCGTATTTACTGATATACAGAAACATGCTGTACAGATTAACAGTGTTCTGGCTTATGTTAGGGTGAGGACTGTAGATAAGCAATTTGGTGATTGAAAAGTGATTTAATAGCGATAGCAATGATAAAATTGAAAAATGTTTGTAATTTTTTCCTCCGTTTGACCTGAAATAGATTTAATGGAAGAAGCTAATGAGAAAAATTTAAACAGGCATCATAAATTATACCTTCAAGTTATCATACTTAATATTTTTGTTCCGGTTGATTTGGCGACAACAGCTGCTGGTGGTAACGCTAAGAACTTGATAATATTAATCTTAATAATCTCATTCATTCAAGCCACTGTATTGTCTTTGAAATTACACGTTTTGAGATGATTATATTTGTACAAAACTAATATTTTTCCAATTCAAAATGCGAATGACTGATCGTTCAGTATGTGCATGTGTTGTTTTCTGTAAATCAAACGCCGACTGTGTTTAAACCGAGTGTAGGAATGGCTGCCACTGACAATGCAAACCTCTTATAGAGAGGTAATTAAGTGTAAATGAGTTAAATTGCTATAGAACATAAAGCTATTCTTGAATGCGTTTGTCACAAGGATGAGATACTAACATTTGTTTTTTTTACAGTTTTACTTGTTTTATGAACTTCTAAAGAATATCTGGAGAGACTTATCTTGATTTATAGAAATGAGATTGAAAAGTTGAGCATTTTTAGCATATCACAATAATTCCTTAGCCTGAAAAGGGCCTGATCCAGTACACCAAGGTTGTTTGTTGTTGAATCCCATGTAGTGTGTCATAGTGGAAGAGAATCTACTTACACTGTTTGACAGCGTCTACGATGTGCTTCATGATGCCAATGGTTGTTGACATTCCTGATCCCAAAAGTTCTCTCTCTCTCTCTCTCTGATGCTTCCTGTCCAGTCACCTTTGCACGGCGTGAAAAACCTCACAACAGGTCAAGGTCCAACATGTCTTCTGACATATCTCTTGGGCCAAAGTCACAAGCAGGACTGTGACCACCAAATTGGACATAGTGACCATGTTGGAAGAAATACCTACACAGCAGTCTGATCCCGGCGATAGCATGAATCCCTGACAACTCTGGTGTCTAGTGTACAATATAAAGCACAATACTCTACTCTCTTTACCTGTGTCTTACTCTCTCTCTCCCTCTCTCTCCTAGGTCACCTGTCCCATGTAGCGGTGAGTGAGGGGGAGTACAGTAACCATGGCAACTGCTCAACGGGCCCAACTCCAGACTGCTCTCCCCCCTCCCCCGACACGGCCCTGAAGAACATTGAGAGAGTCATCCGCCCACAGGTGAGCACACACACACACACACACACACACACACACACACACACACACACACACACACACACACACACACACACACACACACACACACACACACTAATGAATGTGTTTCAGAGGCACCTGATGCATTATTGAACATCACCACCTACAAGTAGCTTAAACACCTGCACCCACACACACACACACACACACACACACACACACACACACACACACACACACACACACACACACACACATAATGGTAAACATCTCTGTCTCCCTCTGAATGTTTCTGTCTGTTTCATTTCATCTGCACTCTTCTCTCTGCCTCTGTCAGTCACTCTCACAGCAGATTGGAGTATCCTGTTGTGTCTGTCCATCTAAACATCATATCCTGCTTACAGAAACCCAGATGAGCCCCTATCATGGGTCTGAGAGCTTGACTGCGCTTGCTGGGTTACTGTGAAAGGGTCATGATTTTGATTAAAAATTTGTTCCAAGTTCAAACAAAATTTGTGTCTTGAATCTGAAGGCTGCATTTGTACTCAGTTGTGCATAGTAAATCTCTGCATCTGGGGCTTTGAGACATTGTGGTCTGCAGCCACCCCGGCTGGGCGCCTACTTAAGATATAAATCAAATTTCCCCTTGAAGGATAATAAAGATTGGGCTGTTGTACTATGTTACCTCCAAGCCCATCACCTCCTCTTTCTTCCTCCTTTAAAAACACACCCCAAACTGTATCACCAATGTGTTTTTTAAAAACGAAGAAGCAAGTAAACAAGTACAGGCATGTGCTGTACAATGGTGACAGCCATTGTGAAAGTTCTAACAAAAGAGACATTACACACAGCTTTTTCCCCACTTTCGATGAATTTCGCCTGTGTGCTGGCTGTAAATTTGTACCCCGCGCCTACTGAAGTGTCTTAGACTGCAACTTTTGACAACAGAGCACCAGTACGTTCACATTAATTGCTGCGGACAGTGCGTGCAAGTGGTGCAAGGACCATGCTGAGCCCTGACGTGATGAGTCACTGCAGTGTGTGGGAGCTTAGTTTTTTGACAAATTACTGCAGTTACCTAAACTTTTTCAAATATATAAACTGCTTGTGTTTCACTTTTAATAAAGACTGGTTAGTTTAGTTCCTAGCTACCAGTTTTGTTTTGTATTGCAGTGGACTAAAACATAAATAAAACCCCTCCTTTATTACTGCACTGCAGATAGAGCCTGGAAACAGGTGTGGCATTTTATCAATATATTATTAGCACTCAAGAATTACACTTATTGGAAGAATCTTGGTTCCTACCTGAATCAATTTTCTCCTCCAAGCGCAACAGCGACTTTCGCAGGTGCATTTTCAACTCAAGTCACATCGTAGTGAGTTGGCCATCGTCTAAACCATTGATTGTTTAATTATTAAAGTGATCTGACTTTGATAACGGAGGATATACTGTAGTATCTAGGGTGATCCAGATTGAGAAGCCAAATCTGGTAGACTGTGTACATTCAGTGTCCAGGCAGCCTGAAGCTAAGGTGGGTTCATCATCTCCTGCTGAAATGATACAGAAATGACTCATGCATACTTGTGTGGAATCTAATAAAAATGCTGCAGTAGGATTATTTCAGGGAAGGGGCCTCCTGGGCAATCAGTGTAACGTTGAAGAAATATGCAATAAATATGTATCAGTATCATTATATCAGAAGTGGACAACATTACCTTCATTCTAAGGCATGTTGTACACACCTAAATGCTCTTAAAACACTGTTACTTCTTTCACAGAATAGATTAATAATTTCTCACTGATCATGAATAACTTCAAATCAACATTCAGCGATTCAAATGCAACAACAAATCAGCCTCATTAGTGACTTCAGAGTAATTTAGTCCTCACACTTCTGTCACTGGGAGGATAGTATCAGACACAAGCTCAGCGCGAACGTTTTGCACCTTGATAATTAAAGGCAGTTATTTTCTCAGTCTGCGGATGACTTGTGACATAACACTGCAAAAAATATCTGTCTGAACTGCTTGTTTAGTCTGGTGATGAATCATAAAATATTAGTTTACTGAAGCATTAGTAAATTGTCTGGCAGTGGGGTGAGATTATTAATAAAGAGCTGTTCAAGATAGCACTGGAAGGAAATAAGAGTTTTAGGGCTCATGAGACTTAATGGCTCCCCAAAACTTCACCTGCCTCTGACTCTCTGAATGTCCTTTACTCATCTCTTCCTCCCTTGTTTCTTTACCTCACCTCCACTCCCATCTTTCCCCCCTCATCACAGTCCTGTCTTTGGTATGTTAACTAATGTGTGTAGAGGGATCACATGCGGTGCCCAGTGGGCCTCCGCTCGGCTTGAAGCGCACATAATCAAGGAGCACCAGAGTTCAATTTTATAGCGCCTAATTAATTCTCTAGAATTCATTTCATTTCATTTCATATTAGTGCTCCCGCTGGCTATTTCATCAGTACACACTGTACGCAGAACAGGCTAACATGAACACAAACACAAAGATGACTCTGGAATGTATAGAGGAGTCTGGTAAAGTGTAATAGTCAGTATTAGAAAATGAATGTGGTGCTTTCAGGCTTACACAGGGGAGGTTTCCAAAAAAAGTAGGGATTAGATTTCACTGTTTGTAAACGGTGATACAGTGTAAAGATGATTTGATCAGATGGTTTACTGCCATCTCACAAACAGTTATGTGATTCTATATTATATCATTTCCAGCAGTAATATTTTCTCAGATAAGTTGCTTTGGACAAAATTGAATGTGTGATGGGAATCTCTTTAGGGACTTTGATATAAACATTTCCCTGAGAACTTCTGTACTACATACACTTCACAAATTGTTGATTTAATTACTCTCTTTTTATAGTTATTTCTATTCAATGTTATTGCTTTATTCTTTACTACTGCATATCACAAAAGTGAATTCAGTCAAATTAACTGGGTTGTTTTTCTCTTTAATTAACAGGATTTTTGTGATTGGGATTTTGAAAACTTGACCATCGGTCTGATAATGTCAATAGTTATCGTGACATAAATCCCAGTTCCCATATTGAGCTCTAATTCTTAGTAGCACTAACACTAGATCTGGAAACTGGTAGAAGGGTGTGTTTTGGCAAAATATCCTGATTTAACCTTAAATAACATCTTAAATTTCTTTAAAAAGTAATGTATCTTCTAGAAACTAGACCTTAACAAGTGGACTTATGTACTTCAATGTTGTGATTCTCTTTGAATATAAGCAAAATAACACTTAAAAACTAGTGTGAGACTCAATAACTTCCTACTTGGCATATTTTTTTACAGTGTGTAGACCTTCCTCCCCCTCTGTCAAGACTCCCCGAGGCTTGTGGCTGCAAATAAAAATGTGCTCTAAGTAATTCATCTCTTTAAATCCTGGTTTAAAAGAAATTATTTCAACTTGTGTGCTGCTAAGGCTGCTGCAACATTGACCACAAGCCAGTCGGGGAAAAAACAAACATGTGATCACTTAGTAAAAGCGCGAAGAGATCACACAGGCTATGTTGACTGAAATCCACGAGCTTAACGATTGAGTCATTTTTTTACTATTTTTCTTTATTTCTTAATCCCCTGCTTCTTGTCCAAAATGTCAGCTGGACATGTTGGATCTCCACAAGCTCTTGATCACACTCATGGGCAGATGGGATGTGAATAGAAAGAATGAGGGGATATTCAACTGGATGAAAAGAAGCAGAAAGAGAGGAGAGCGAGAAGGACAGACACTGCGTCATTGGGGTTATCAGTTTCATGCCCACTGGCTCAGTGTCCTACTTTGCTGCTTTTGCGTGTGTATCCTTAGTTTTAATAACCATTACTTGCCTTTGAGTGATTCCAGTCAACACATGATAGAACTCGTGTTTGCACGCACAAAGGCTGAAGGTGGTATCTCACACAATCACATGGTCACTATACAACATTGCGCACACACACAGTACATCTCTTTTGCACTTTTTGTGAGGACTAATTTGCATTTTATACCATGAAGGGATAGTTTGAGTTTTTTGGAGCGGGGTTGTGTGAGGTACTTATCCATAGTCTGTGTATTACCTGCAGTAGACGAGGGTTGGCACAATCCCAGTTTGGAGAAGCAGATATGAGTATCAGCATGGAAACCGAGCAATGCACTGCTGTGGAGTGGCAGTAATAAAATGTATTTTATCCACCAAAATAAAAAGCCCACCTAACAAAATCAGTTTACAGGGACGGTGTATTTAATATATTTTCACTGCTTTACCATGCAGAACACAGGAATCACAAACACCAAAGTTACACTATAACACTAACACATTAACCTATTGAGGCAGCACTCGACCTGCAAGGTAAAATGACTTCTTGAGACTTCTATGATCTTTAGCATGCAGGTACTAAGTATCATTGTGCTAATTCTACAGTTTATCTTGCAATTGTCAAGATGGAGAAGAAATAGGTTTCCAAAACCTTCATAATCATAGGTATGTTATTAAAAATAGATTTTCCCAGTTTGTATCTTATCTTCTCATTGATACTGCCGATAGGACCAGACCCATGCAGCTCCTTGTGTCAGTTTTTCCATCTGAGCACAGCCTTTGTAAAGTTAATGGTTTTAGGGTTTAGGTCAGAATGATTGAATGAGCTGTAATAGTTAAGATTAAGGCTTAAGATATATAATCAATAGTGCATCAGTCCTTCTCTCAAGACTTTCCATCTTCTCCTGTCTGTCTGTTTGCACTCAGCCCTAATTTGTTCCCACTATATTATCAATACTTTAAAAACAGGTCAAAAATTCTCCCAGTTGCCAGTTTATTAGGTACACCGAGCTAAAACTAGTGCAGCGTATATAACAGTCAGTAAAAAACTACCTTTAATGAAGGTTATAATGTTCAGTGTTTCTCAAAACTGTTTTTATAGAAGTGTTGTTTCAACTTAATGTTCATTTGGAGACTGTACTAAGTGTTGTGTTTTATGGAGAGGTGTTTCTAATTAAAAAGTCATTTAGTGTGCCCCAATTGATAT